GCAGATCTTTTAGTTATCAGGCTCCTCTCCTGTGGAACCAACTACCAGTTTTAGTCCGTGAGGCAGACACCCTGTCTACTTTAATCTGACTGGATGATCTGGTTGAATTGTTTCTGTAAAGTTCCCTGAGATGACATGTTGTGAATTGGAGCTACAGAAATAAAATGATTTGTCCAACGGTTGCTAAGGACAGGAAGTGTCCCTCAGTCACACCAATGTATGATGAAGCTCAGGGTTTTATTTTCTATTTAGGTCCCGGTTCTCCACCCTCCTCCGGTCCCTGACACCAACCTCATGGTCGTGGTTCCTGAGGCCGATGCTGATTGAACGGCTGGCTCTGGACAGGACGGCCGTCATGGCGTAGAGGTGGATCAGAACGTCTGCTACCCTCTTCAGGACAAGTTGTTCATCCACGATGCTCTGAAATGGCGGGAGGGAACAGGACACAGTACAACTGTAAAGGTTGGTTCTAGAGTCTGTTATCTACGTCATCAAAGGTCAGGCTATAGCAAAGGCAAGAAGGCAGCCAATAAGGTCCCATAATGTAGAGGGAACCCTGTAGAGTAGGGGTCACGGGTTATTGGACCGCTGTCCGGATCCGGACCCAATCTGATTTAAAACATTTATAAATTACCGCCCCGCAGCGCTCCAGACCTCCTGTCCAAAGCAAAGCCTACAGCCTCTGCTGTTCCTCCCGTCTTGTTGCTCTCCGACTTAGCCTCGGAGTTCGATGAGAGCATCGCGTTATTATTATTAAATTCGTAGGAGCAAAACATGCAGAAATTAACGCTTAATTTAATATGACAGATTAAAAATATCCCCATCAGTATCCAGCAGATGTGTGGTTTCTGATGGAGATGAGAAATCTGCTTCCTGGTCTGTATCATCTGATCTGAATTACCAATAGTTTAATTTAAAATCAGCGGGGTCCGAATAAAGAAAATCATCAGTCAGTAAAGGTCTGCAGACATTTTTAATGATCCGTTACCCTAAACAGAATTTATCACAGAAATAAAAGGAGGTGTTTATGCATCCATGTTATACATTGAATTTTTAAATAAAAAACAAAATGAGTAGAGAACAACAATCATCCAGTTTGGTACATAGACAAGTTCCTGATTGCCAGCTGAATTCATCGTTTGTTATTTTCTTTCTTTTTT